AACTTATATAGACATTACTTTAAACGATGGGGCGGACGTTCTGAACTTTTTAGACAGCACGTCTTTCGCAACAGAAACATACAATCCATCCGACATAGAAAGAGATTTGATTTCTCGTCGATCACGGAACGTTGGTTTTGTAGATCCTTCTTCGCTATCGAAAGCATATATTGATCGACTATTGGATGCACAAGATATCGTTGAATATATTACTCAAACAACTTATTCTGACGATATTTATGGTCTTCCTGATTCTTTCAGAAAGCTAATTCACGATGCCAGGAACGAAATCATGGGGAACACTGAGATACACCAGTGGACTGCAGTAGAAAGATTACGGATGGTTAGAGATCATTTGATCAAAAAGAGGGAAGAGAATGACGATGGTAGCTCGAGTTGGTTGGATGAATGGAAATGGAATAATGGTCGCTGACTTGATTATAAAAGATCGAGTGATGTATACGATTGATGCAGATGTACCTGGCCTGGGTCGAAACACAATAATTGATGTCGACAACCAAGGCTATTGTCACAAATAGATTATCATTCCCCGTAGCTCTGACTTTGACTAGCAAGTTTTCATATGACTACATGTCAAGAATGGAAAAAAAACTGTTCAGACCACGCTAGGTCTTCCACTAATTGAAATTCGGTTTAATGTTGGCTGCTATCGATTATACCTAATGTTTATTGACATTGAATTGTCGTTATTTATTAAATTATGGAAAAAAGGCTGTCAGGAAAGTAAAAATATAGTGAATGACTGCATGTAACATCACGTTACTGTTTATGAATTTAGCCATTTCTCGATTCCCCTGGCCATATTGAGATTGCCGGAAGCGGGTATACCTTCAGATCAAAAAAAGGAAAGATAAATCAAGACAAAACTGGAATATTTCTCTTTCTCATGATAATTGAGTTTCTCTATTTTTGTCGACGTTTCCGGTTTGTAATAAAACTTTTACTGGAATTCAGTTTCCCAAAATAGGGATAGTACAAATACTGGACTGCAGATCTGAAGCACAAGAATGTAGATCATTAAATAACTTAATACCAGATTTAGTAGTAATCATAAAAGTAAAAAAATAAGACTACGGGCCCTGCAGTTTAATTTATGCAGATATGAAGTTTAGCGTATAAGAAAATGTGAATTGATCTGTATTATAACTTTAGCTTGTTATCCGCACCTACATTTCATGTTTTAGCTCAGAAGATCAGCGTAGACATTAACATCTGCTTCCCAGAGTTCGGTAAAAAAAAGTCTATAATATGCGTAAATCATTTATTTGTATGCGTCTACAGTATTGTATGATTTAGGCAGGTGGGAAGAAGTTTGCAAATAATGCTACTCCCACCAGACCATACACCACAAAATATGTTAGCACGATACGCGACCAGTAATTATGTTGCTTAGAATATGCTAAGTGCGCGGCAAACCAATAGACTGGTGGCAGAGAGGAGAAAAATCGTGTTATTACTTGAACATGCATGGACGTTATAGCATAGAACAGGAGAACTGCCCATAAATAAATGAATGGTAGAATTTTTGAATTGAAATAAGGCGAAGTTACGGTCTTGCCTTTGGCCACTGTTGGTTGATTTTCATCTAAGCCACACCAGGTATTACACGTTAGAATTTACCAAGACAAGTATATCCGCCGGCTAACCAAAAGATAACTTTGGTGACTTTACCTTTAACCAACGGTTTCGTTCTTTGCAATCCTAACGAAAGGATCCTCTGCCAGTCAAAATTCGAATACGTATATATCCCGCACAATGAGAGCGCAATCATAGGAGATGCTAACAGGAAATTAGGAATCTGTTTCACTTCATAATAAGAGAGAAATCCGCAGGACCTAAGGAATAACGATATATTAATGGTTGTTAATCGGTGGGAATACGATCGATACTATGACTCACCAGTAATGTTTCTGTATGAACGAATAATTCAACGGCACGTATGAATCGCACCAAGGGCGCTTTGGCGAATGTAAATGGCAATACTTGTAATATCCAAAAATTTCAAAAATTATAAACCCAAGTAAAGTGACAAAACTATACAGAACAGTTGACAGGATTTTCTTGATGAGATGCTAATACAAACAGGTTACCCAGCTCGTTAGCGATGGTTTGATAAACAATCACAGCGAGTAAAAGATTAGACACACGCTACGATGTCGCTTACTTTACATCCTCCCGCGTGGCTTTTCAAGAGCTCGAATACGAAAAAGCCTATATACGTTATCCCGTTCGATCTTACGCCGGACGCTACGGACCAAACCAAAGCGGCTTTCCAGAAATTTCCCTGCATTACCCATCGCATTCCCATAAAACTCAAAACGGCAAACAAACTTTCAGCGTACAATGACGACATGAAGATGTTTGATGGTGTGAGAATGTAAAACAGAGCAGTGATGAGAGAAAACTTGTGATCATTGGATATGGACAAGGTCAGTCTGAAGGGATTCGAACGAAACACCGTAAAATCAGTCTTTGTCAGGAATGACCAAAATGTAGGAATCACAGCAAAAATAAAGAAATGCGTACTTGTATATCATGCCTGTCGCACATACAAAGGAAAAATTGGACACTAGAATACCGGCAAGAAGCAGTACTTGTTTTTTTAATAAAAGCCATTCTAACGGCCACAGGACTAAGAAATTATATAAATTCCGCCATTAGATAAGCAGACGATTCATTACAAGTCAAACGCTTGATTTATTTGAAACACTTTTTTTTTTACCATAATTTCCAAAGAAGCGAATTACAAGAGGCAAGACGGGAAAGAAAGCATGCTCTTGTTCATAGACGTAACCTTCTTCCGCCAAATGTAAAAAATAAAACGCATCCCAACGCAAGAATGCGCGAAATGTCAAGTTGAACAATTTCTGCAACAACGAGTTGGCTTGAAACAATACATCCGCCGCCGAGTCGTAGTCATCGAGAAGGTATGAAGACAGAAATGCAAGGATCCATACAAAAAGTCTAGATAAAATAGCTAACAGAAGTATTGGTTTTACTGAAGGTTTGAGTAAACGCAAATGTAGTCTATCCGCACTGAGCGAAACCATTTAAAAACCAGCAAGCTGGTACGACATATAGAACATATAAGAAGCTGATGACTGGCTGAATATGTCGTACGATGGCCTGTTATTGAATGTAGACTGAACGGGATAAGGAACTAGTTTAAAAAGTTCAAACATAATTGATAATATAGCAAAGGAACGGGACAAAAGTCCCTTCAACAGACTTGCTCTATAAATGTTAAAAATCTCTTGAATGTTTATTTCCTTATCTTTTTTCATGTTTAACAGAATACGATTACGTTATATTTAGTTACACAGTATGCGCCACGTATTTATAGGGTTCCATTCTGTCAGTTGCTGCCCAGAAGATGATATAACATTTGACTCTAAAAAACCTATTGGTAGTGGAGCATTTGGAGTGGTGGGCAGCAGTTTCGAAACTGATACAAAGACGATGAATAGGCAGCATAATGATTTCTCTGGGATGGTTGTTGCGGGGAAACTTTTACGTTCATATATGTACATGGGGACTGTGAAGAAGAATTGCATCGTCAATTTGCCCGCTATTATTCACCATTCGCCAATGGAATGAATGTCATGCGTTAGCTGAGATACCACAAGGGAAGCGAACAACCTACAAAGGTATGTGCATATTAATAAATCATAATCGATAGTTCGCTGATTTCACAAGAGGACTATTTTTTCATTTCATTATTATCCTGCTTTCTGTATAACAGGCGAATACGCATGATTCTCGAACTGGCTGAGGAACCGCTTCGAATACAATGTTGGCTTAGAAACTACCAACGGGTTGAAAACATCTGCATGATCTGGATATCATTCACAAGAATTTGGGTATTTATTTGCACATGTTGATTGTATTGTATGAGCTTATATCATCGATTCCAAACTGATCACAATGGTTTTACGTTTACTAGTCTTCCAACAATATTTTATTAAATCGGGTGCCGATTTCGATTTATTCCAAAACAAGTTATGTCCAAATCACGTGGATATGTGGCTCTCGCACATAAAGATCCAGTATCTTGGGAGAACGATTCATATGAATGTAAGAAGATTCGGTTCCTTCATCTTCTTGAATAAATCACCAGCGCTGAATATTTTTAGCCTTGGAGCGATATTATGGGAAATATCCTGTGAGCAAATGCCGTGCGAAGGACGATGATGGAACCCCTGAAGAATA